GGAAGGAATATTGCTTGAATCTGAGCCCAGGAGTTTGAGGCTGCAGGGAGCTATGATTGCACCACTGCACTCCAGCCTGGGCAGCAGAGTGAGACCCTGTTCCCAAAAAAGAAAAAAGAAGGCTGCACACGGTGGCTCACGCCTGTGGTCCCAGCACTTTGGGAGGCTGAGGCAGGCGGATCACTAGGTCAGGAGATCGAGACCATCCTGGCCAGCATGGTGAAACCCCCTCTCTACTAAAAATACAAAAAATTAGCTGGGCATGGTGGCACGCACCTGTAGTCCCAGCTACTTGGGAGGCTGAGGCAGGAGAATCGCTTGAACCTGGGAGGTGGAGGTTGCAGTGAGCCAAGATCGTGCCACTGTACTCCAGCCTGGATGACAGAGCAAGATTATATCTCAAAAAAAAAAAAAAAAGATACCATTGAAGCAATAAATATGAATATACTTTTTATAAGTAGGCATTTTTTTGAAAAAAAAAAAGAAAAAGAAAAAAGCTCTATAAAATCAGCTTTATGTTGAGCAAGCAAATGTGTAGAATGCCATTTACTGTTTTACTTACCATCTTTAAGAAAATCAAACTCGGCCAGGCATGGTGGCTCACGCCTATAATCCCAGCACTTTGGGAGGCCGAGGCGGGTGGATCATGAGGTCAAGAGATCGAGACCATCCTCGTCAACGAGGTGAAACCCCGTCTCTACTAAAAAAACAAAAATTAGCTGGGCATGGTGGTGCGCGCCTGTAGTCCCAGCTACTCGGGAGGCCGAGGCAGGAGAATTGCTTGAACCCAGGAGGTGGAGGTTGCGGTGAGCCGAGATCGTGCTATTGCACTCCAGTCTGGGTAACAACAGCGAAACTCTGTCTCATTAAAAAAAATTAAAAAAAAAATAAAATCAGACTCATCAAACTTTAAAAGACTTTTAGGTTTGGACCCAATGCCTTCCAAATCCCTGAACCTGCAGACTTGGGAACTTACCTTTGCAGATGAGAAAACTGAAGTCACCCTTCCCCTTTAGTATCTAGTGAAGGATTCTGGAAAGAGAAGGTTAGTTAGGGAAGGTATTTGGTTCTGGCTTTGTCTAAACGACTTGCCCAATGTCAGACAGTCAGAACTTAAATAGGATTGGGCATCAGCAGCAACCATTTAGCAATCTTGGGCCTTTTGTCCCCCTTTATGGAGGTGAAATATCATAATAGAAGAGTCTCATTTTCGTTTTTCTTCCAGATTTCAGAAGAGATCCCTTGAGGCAGGTGTTGATCTTGCCCTCCATTCAAACAGATGGACAGGCCAGGAAGCCCCCAGAAGTCACCATAAGCCTGCTCTATAGCATGTCCTCACTAAAGAGAGGGTAACTCCTAAAGCCAAAAAGCCTCCAAACTTGAAGACAGATCACTCTTGCTAAGGAACATTAGTTAGCTTAGGCATCTAGACTGCTCTGTGTGTCTTGGGTATACATGAAGAATATAACTCCGCACCAACCACCCAGGATCATTCAGCAACTCTTTATGTGAATTTGAGCTTTTTTTTTTTTAATATTGTAAATTGTCTGGGAATGTCCTTTCTTATCTTTTTTCTTTGAAGTCCTGAATTTGTAACTTGCTTCTAAATTGCTGAATGTCACATTTTCCTGATTGTTCTAGCTTTCTCTGAAATGCACAGGAAATGTCTGTAGGGTTGGCAAGCTCCTCCTCCTCCCACTTCACTCCTATTCCAAACGTGTACTTTCAGCATTTGAGAGCCTATCTTCTCTCTTAGCTCCCTTAAAAACATTTGTATTTCCACTTTTTATGAAGTTAAAATGGTTTCATTTCAATCCACCGACTTAGAAGGGTCATGTCTATCCTTAACCTCTGTCAAATACCCTTAAAAATAATTTTTTCCTTTGAAACTTCCATAATACCACTCTTGGCATGCATTTGCATGCCAAGCCTGTCGCTTGTTTTCTTCATCTGAACTTACTTTTCAAATATAGTAGTATAAGACTTAGGGTAGGGGAAACAGCATCAGAAACGGAGGGCTGGAAACTAGATTCAGGACATTGTTTAAAATAATCAGAATAAATACTTTCATTTATTTAACATTCTACATATATTGTTTTGAATATCTATCATTGGCCAGGCATGGTGGCTTATGCCTGTAATCCCAGCACTTTGGGAGGCCAAGGAAGAAGGATCTCTTAAGGCAAGAAGTTTGAGACCAGCCTGGGAACATGGCGAAACCCTGTCTCTACTAAAAATTAAAAAAAATTAGGCAGATGTAGTGGCGTGTGCTGGTGGTTCCAGCTACTTGGGAAGCTGAGGTGAGAGGTTTGCTTGAGCCCAGGAAGTGGAGACTGCAGTAAGCCATGACCGTGCCACTGCACTCCAGCCTGGATGACAGAGCGAGACCCTGGTTTAAAAAACAAAAAAAAGAATAAAGAATATTACAGCTGGGCACAGTGGCTCACGCCACTCCCAGCACTTTGGGAGGTCCACACCTGAGGTCAGGAGTTTGAGACCAGCCTGGCCAACATATAGTGAAACTCTGTCTCTACTAAAAATACAAAAATTAGCTGGGCATGGTGGTGCATGCCTGTAGTCCCAGCTACTTGGGAAGCTGAGGCAGGAGAATCCCTTGAACCCAGGAGTCAGAGGTTGCAGTGAGCTGAGATCATGCCACTCACTCCAGCCTGGGTGACAGAGTGAGACTCCATCTCTCAAAAAATATATGTATATGTAGGCCAGGTGTGGTGGCTCACACCTGTAATCCTAGCACTTTGGGAGGTGGGCGAATCATGAGGTCAGGAGATCAAGTCCATCCTGGCTAATGTGGTGAAACCCTGTCTCTACTAAAAACTAGCCGGGTGTGGTGGCACCCACCTGTAGTCCCAGCTACTCAGGAGGCTAAGGCAGGAGTATTGCTTGAACCAGGAAGGTGGAGATTGCAGTGAGCCAAGATTGTGCCACTGTACTCCGGCTTGGGTGACAGAGCAAGACTCCAACTAAAAAAAAAAAAAGGACCAGGTGCGGTGGCTAACGCCTGTAATCCTAGCACTTTTGGGAGGCCAAGGTGGGTGGATCACCTGAGGTCAGGAGTTCAAAACCAGCCCGGCCATCATGGTGAAACCCCATCTTAAAAAAAAATATATACACACACATATATCTATGTATCTATATCTTATATACATAGGTACTATTCTTCTAGGCCCTTGTGATACAGCAGTGAACAGACACACTTTCTGCCCTCACAGAGCTTAAGTTCTAGTGGAAGGAGATAGCTAGCAAACCAAATCAATAATTGACATAGTGCATTAGAAAGTGATCTTTGCTTTCAAGAAAAATAAAATAGATGCGGCATAGAGGGAGTGTTTTCCACAATTTAAAATCAGATGGCTCTTGAGCAAAGCACTGAAGGAGGTGAACAACCAGGCTATGCTGACATCTGGGGAAAGAGAGTCCCAGGCCAGGAAACAAACAGCAAGTGCAAAGGCTCGCAGGGGAGAATCCCCAGAGTGACGGAGAAACAGCTTGGAGAGAAATTCGTTTGGTTTATTTGTCTCTTCCCACTAGGAGAGCAGCAGGTGATGAGGTCCGAGAAGTAACAGGAAGTAGCAGACCTCTGAGCCTTGCAGGATGTTGTAGGTACTTTGGCTTTTACTATGATGAGATGGGAAGCCAGTGGAGGCGTTTCAACCAAGGGAGCAACAGAATCTTATGGACAAGATCACTGGCTGCTGGGTTGAGAAGGGAAAAGAGCAGGTGTAGAAGAGGAAAGATCAGTTAGGAGGCCACTGCAATCATTTCATTCCAGAAATTACTCATACCAAAAATTAATCAGAGAAGTTTGATGCATTTACAAAAGGGGGAGAAAATGTGTTTGTAGAATACAAAAGAGGTAGAGAAACACTAAACATTTTGAATGTTTTAAGTTTCAAGGAAAAGACCGATTTGGCAGCTACTCTGTTATCTCGTCACCTCCAGGTGACGCTGGGAGTACTGGGGAGCTAGGTTTCCAGAACTTTTTGCTCTTGAGTGACCTATGATCCTAGCAGAGTTTGGTCAGTGTGATTAAGAATGAGCCTCTGTGGGTCTCTTCAGGATGTTTGCCCACTCCTATTTCCTAAACTTGCCTGGGTGCCTGTTGGGAATAGATTCGGGGCCCTTCCCATTCTGTAAATATGGGAAAGGGTCCAGGAAATACATGCTTTTAGCAAGAATATGTAGGGGTTCTATGACTAGGAAATTTGGGGAACTGTCCCTCTGACCGCCCCATCCGTAACTCCTGCACACTTTTTGGGGTATGTCCCTGACGGGGAAAGCGTTGCAGAGTGCTTGTGCTGCCCGCAGGTGGCGCCACGTGATCGCAAGCTGCAGAGGGCGCGCGTCCCCTTAGAAGAGGCGCGAGGACTGCTGGTCCGCAGCTGTGCGGGGCCACCGACGCCGCTTACCCCTGCGGAGCGCAGCGCAGGTGGAGTCGTGGAGTGCGGCCGGTGCCCCGGCTTTTTAGGCTGTCTAGTTGGCTTCTCGGGCTCCCGGGGCAGGAAGGCGCCGAGGCTTTCTGCCTAGGAATTGAGAACTGGAGAGCCAGCAAGCTACTGCGGCGGGAACTTGCCACTTCGCGCCGCAAGGCTTTGGTCCAAACCCGGCCGGTCCAGGCGCTGGGATCTACTACAGGGCCCCCTGTGGAGCACCGGCCCTGCGGACAGCTCCTTCCTATTGGCAGCGGGATGGAGGCCACGCCCCCTTTCCTACAGCGCTCATCTTTGACTGGCTCTCGAGTCCCAGCTGGCCACGCCTCCCTCCCTCGCACATACACAAGAGTCACGCGCCTTTCTGTTGGAAACTTGGCGTGCTGAGGGGGACGGTGGCTCTCGTCGCCCCACCCACTTACCTTGCCATTGGTCCGCGGAGCGGCACACGGCCACGCCCCCATTCCAGCCCCCTGGCCGGGAGGGCGGGCACCCGCTCGTGATTGGCTGGTCGGGCTGCCTCTCGCGGGAGCAGCCGGCGCTCCTCTCCCTCCCTCTGTCCCCTCCTGCTAGCCTCGGGGTTTCTCAGCTGGCCGAGGTCGAGTCATTGTCAGTCAGGGACGCGAACTGCTGAGCACTGGCCGCGGACACTCCATTGCAGTCTCGTCCAGGGGCTGGTGCCTGCGCTCGCGCCGCCGGGTGGAAAGGATGAAGCCGCAGCTGGAGCAGCCACCCTATGATTGGCTGTGGCGCTTGTGAACCCAAAGTAAAGATGGCGGGCGGGCAGGCAGCCGCCGCACTGCCCACTTGGAAGATGGCGGCTCGCCGCAGCCTCGGCGCCCGCGGCCGGGGGGTCCTGCAGGCGGCGGCGGGGCGGCTGCTGCCGCTGCTCCTGCTGAGCTGCTGCTGCGGCGCAGGCGGCTGTACAGCGGCGGGCGAGAACGAGGAGACGGTGATCATCGGGCTGCGGCTGGAGGACACGAACGACGTGTCGTTCATGGAAGGGGGGGCGCTGCGGGTGAGCGAACGGACCCGGGTCAAGCTGCGGGTGTACGGGCAGAACATCAACAACGAGACGTGGTCCCGCATCGCCTTCACCGAGCAGGAGCGGCGGCGCCACAGCCCGGGCGAGCGCGGACTGGGGGGTCCCGCGCCGCCGGAGCCGGACAGCGGCCCCCAGCTCTGCGGCATCCGCACCTCAGACATCATCATCTTGCCCCACATCATTCTCAACCGCCGCACCTCGGGCATCATCGAGATTGAGATCAAACCGCTACGCAAGATGGAGAAAAGCAAGTCCTATTACCTGTGCACGTCGCTCTCCACGCCTGCCCTGGGCGCCGGCGGCTCGGGGTCCGCGGGTGGCGCCGTCGGGGGCAAGGGCAGCTCGGGGGTGGCTGGGCTTCCGCCGCCCCCGTGGGCCGAGACCACCTGGATTTACCACGATGGCGAGGACACCAAGATGATCGTAGGCGAGGAGAAGAAGTTCCTGCTGCCCTTCTGGCTGCAGGTGATCTTCATTTCACTGCTGCTGTGCCTGTCGGGCATGTTCAGCGGCCTCAACCTGGGGCTTATGGCCCTGGACCCGATGGAGCTGCGCATCGTGCAGAACTGCGGCACGGAGAAGGAGAAGAATTACGCCAAGCGCATCGAGCCGGTGCGCAGGCAGGGCAACTACCTGCTGTGCTCACTGCTGCTGGGCAACGTGCTGGTCAACACCACGCTCACCATCCTGCTCGACGACATCGCCGGCTCGGGCCTCGTGGCCGTGGTAGTCTCCACCATCGGCATCGTTATCTTCGGGGAGATTGTGCCTCAGGCCATCTGCTCCCGGCACGGCCTGGCTGTAGGAGCCAACACCATTTTCCTCACCAAGTTTTTCATGATGATGACCTTTCCCGCTTCCTACCCGGTCAGCAAGCTGCTGGACTGCGTCCTGGGCCAGGAGATAGGCACCGTCTATAACCGGGAAAAACTGCTGGAGATGCTCCGGGTCACCGACCCCTACAACGACCTCGTTAAGGAGGAGCTGAACATCATCCAAGGGGCGCTGGAGCTCCGCACCAAGACGGTGGAGGACGTGATGACCCCGCTCCGGGACTGCTTCATGATCACCGGCGAAGCCATCCTGGACTTCAACACCATGTCTGAGATCATGGAGAGCGGCTACACCCGCATTCCGGTGTTTGAGGGGGAGCGCTCTAACATCGTGGACCTGCTATTTGTCAAAGATTTGGCCTTCGTGGATCCAGATGACTGTACTCCCTTGAAAACCATCACCAAATTTTATAACCATCCCTTGCACTTTGTTTTCAATGACACCAAGTTGGACGCTATGCTGGAAGAATTTAAGAAAGGTGGGAAATTTTGGTATCTTTCATTGGCTTGCTCTTTCTCTCTCCATCCTCCTCCCTACTTGAGTCCCCTACCCTCAGACCAACCCCCCAAGGCGAGTTGACCGGGATTTCTCCTCTCTCTTAATTGCAAAGTTGAAAGGGTGGCGTGGATTTGGGGATGGATCGAACTAGTAAGTGCTACTAGGTTCTTTAAAAGAACAAGACAGCCATCACTTACTTTTTCCCATTATGGCTGTGTAATTTCATTGAATGACACTTTGTGTGTGTGTGTGTGTGTGTGTGTGTCCTTTGTGTGGGCCTCTGATCTTGAGGGGTCTGCTGCCTTTGTTGTCTGGGTCCTTAGTGGGTAGGTGAAGGTAGGGGCTGGCTGATGCCATGCCGTTTAGTTGACTTTAATCACAGGCATTTGGAAAACATTTAAATAGCTTTTGTAAAACCACTGCAGTCCTTTTCCTCCTCCTCAAACGTCCACACTGGCCTTTCAAAGATTGGAAGTACATTTTCTATAGCTTCTGTTCCTGCTTGCCTGGCGACTTGTGGGGGAGATTGAGGTCTGTCTTTGAGGGTAAGGGGTAGGTGGGGTGAACTAAGTACCACCAAAAAATTTACCCGTTTTGGATGTGACTTCTCTTAGCTATTAAAGAGTTGTTTTTGTTGTTGTTTTTAAACTAAAGTTATTAATGTGTAACTTTGAAAGACTAGAGGTGAGTTAGCCTTTTATGAGGCTGTGTCTCCTGTGGCCTTCTTCACTATTTTACATTTATCTGACAACAGTTAACAGTTGCCCAAACCAAGCGTGATTTTGGCAGAAAGCTTGAACCTTTGACAGCGGAATGATTCCTTCTATTAGGGCTTATTTATTTCTTGACCCTTTCAGTTTAAAGGATTCTTTTTTTAACTTTGATCACTGGTACATAAAATTGAAGTATGTCTCCCAAGTCACCTCTGACTGTTCCAAGGTGCTTATACAGCACATCATTTCTTGCATTGTGGTATTTGTTTGTTTTACCATATAATGAACAGGTAAATAGCAACTCACACTGTTATTGAAGTTCTGAATGTTTCCAGTCAGTAGTATTATTTGAAAACCAAGGGATGCTGAGTTTTTGAATTATGATGATGTTAGTGCATGTGCCGGTACTGAAACGTGTATGTAACCTTTCGTGACCTGATAGTCCTCAAAACTAAGTTTTCCTTCTTCAAATAGAATAATTTTTTTATAAAGGGATAGAGTAATTTTTTATAAAGGGATAGAAGTAATTTTTATATAAAGGGATAGAGTAGAATGTGCTTTGAAGATTGGTATATTTGCATTTAAAAGCAGAAGGAGGTTCTTCTGGTTTCTTAAATAGTGAAAAGAAAATATCCAGTATCTCTAGGTGACATAGATTTTTTTGGGGGTGTCATTCTTTCACAGCTGAGTCGTTAATTAGAGCATCTAACTTCTTTCATTTTGCAGTAATATCTGTAATATAGAAAGATACACTGGAATGTTTGGAAATGCCCCTAAAAGTCTTTCTATTGCTAAATTTCCCAATATTGATACAGATGATCTAGTGCATGATTTTTTTTAATTACTTAAAATTTTGCACATTTACTGATGGATTGATGACACTAGTTTGTACTTCTTGCTGAAGTCTTTTCTTCACTTCTGTATGTTTTTACCTTGAGAATTTAGTTTTTTACCTCACAACCTCACAGCTCTTTAATCCTGCCCCTACTCAGAATTTCAAAATTCATATTACTTTGAAATCTGTGTTTGATTGACCTTGAACAACTTTTCTATGATGGATTTATTTTCACGAGGAGCTCTTTCTTCTTCAAAATTAGTATTTTTTGAAATGTATTCTTTAAATGACAGAATTACTGATATTTCCCCATGAATTCTAGAAAAATAATAACGCACAAGATTTTATTTTTGTCTTTAACGAGAATGATGTATTTAGTAAGAAGATAATCCAAGTTGTCTGGGTGAGGTGACTCACGCCTGTGATCCTAGCACTTTAGGAGGCTGAGGCTGGCGGATCACAAGGTCAGGAGATCGAGACCATCCCAGCCAACATGGTGAAACCTCCTCTCCACTAAAAATACAAAAAAAATTAACTGGGTGTGGTGGCATGCGCCTGTAATCCCAGCTACTCAGGAGGCTGAGGCAGGAGAATGGCCTGAATCTGGGAGATTGCAGTGAGAGGGAGATCGTGCCACTGTACTTCAGCCTGGCAACAGAGTGAGACTCTGTCTCCAAAAAAAAAGAAGATAGTCCAAGTTAAAGGCATATATTCAAGCTAGTGGCATATTCAGAAGAGCAGACAAAGATAGTTGGTTGCAAATGGGAAATTTAAGCCATGATCTTAAAAGGACAGAATGGGTATTTGTTACTTTAACTATGGGAATAATTGAGTTTTTCACCTTCCCTTTCCTGGATTTTTTTTTTTTTTATGAGTTTGGTTGCTTTAACCCTACTATTAGTTGTATTGGTTCTTTTTTTATGGCTGAGTTTAAGCTGATGTGTCATTTTCTAAATCATGTCTTCATTTTCTAAATCAATTATGACATAATCTTAACAATCAACACTTTATTGTTTTTCTCTGCTGAATAATGGTGTGTTGGATGGTTTGAAGACTTTTTCTTCCTCTACCTCTCTCCTAAATTCCCTATTTACAAAACAAAAACAGAAACAAAAGAGATACCCCAGCAATGCCAACTGTAACTCCGCAAACTGGTTAGATCATAAATCTAGATCTCACTGAAAATTATTGTTTTGGCCAGGCATGGTGGCTTATGACTGTAATCCCAGCATTTTGGGAGGCCAGGGTGGGTGGATGGCTTGAGCCCAAATAGAAGGTTCTGTAATGTGGGAAGAAAAGCCACCTTTATATTAGTTTTTGTGAATGTCTTCTTTCATCTTTCTTTTCTTTTTCCCAAGAGACAAGGTCTCACTCTGTTGCCCAGACTGGATTCGAACTGTGAATGTCTTTTTTTCTCTGGCTACCAGGAAACTGTAGGCTTTATTTGAGGTTGTAAGATAGTAATTGTGCTACTTTTACAGTTTGATCATGATGATTGTGATGATTATTACTTACTTACCTATGTATTCTGTGCCAGGCGCAGGGGCTAGGGCTTTATATGAATCACCTTGTTTAAATTTCACAATAGCTGAATGAAGTATTATCTCCATTTTACAAATGAGGAAATTGACTCTTGGGTGAAATGATTTGTTCAAGGTTGCTCAGTAATTTGTGCCTTGGGGTTTTAACTTAGGTCTTTGTGATACCAGGACCTGCTCTCTTAACCTCTCTATTATGCTGCTCTCCTTGATCCTGGTTTGATATTTCTACTTTACTGAGTGTGAGGTTTAGCTTTCTGTCTCAACACTGCCTCAGAGCCTATCGGGAAATGGAAAAAAAAAATGTGTTTAAACATATATGGCTTTAACCCTATGCTTCTGTGGTATTCTTCGTAACAACTGGTGTCCCCTTTTTTGCCGTTAAAACAAATACGTTTTTTGGCCTGTGTGATCCTAAATCTGAAGAACTGTGTTGACAGTGTTTGCATGTCAAGCCTCAAGATTCATTTTGGAAATGTTTGATACTAACACTATGTTGTACTAGTGTGCTTCTTCCGTGGGCTGCTCTACAACTGTTTTTCCCATAGCTAAATTATGTAATAATGCTTCACTGTTGGATTCGTATCTGTTTCTGTTGCAAGGGTCACAGAGCAATTGGTCAAACTCAGTTTTACTGTGTTTAAATCTTGGTTTTTATTTACATTTTTGAATCTATCTGTATAACTGCTTGCTAATGAGCATCCTTTACACAACTCTCCTTTCTGTATTCCATGCAAGGAGCCTTTCTCTTTTGTGTTGAGTGTGTTAGTTTTGTAGTTACTTAGAAGTCTAAGTAAGAGAATGAATTCAGTAAATACCACTAGAGGATTATGAGAATTTTAGAAAAACTAGAGCAATGTAGTGTAGGGGGAAGGAAAAGCAAAATGAAAGGCTGCCACCTTTGTGTGTGGAAAGCTTGTTAGAGGCTCTCCATTCGCCTGACAAAACCGTCCTCACAAAAGATTGGGCTACCGGGTTGTCTCTCCTGAGGTGCATTTGAAGAATTAATAACCAGTTATGTTTCCTTGTTTTTCTTTTAGCTTTCTAACAGTTGCATTCCAGTATTGCAGAGGATGCTATTTACAGCTGGTAGGGACTCAGCCAGCCTGTTTTCTAGCTTTTTCTTAGTTGGGAACAGGTGGGATCACCAGATAATATTCTTCAGGGAAAGAATGCACTGTGCAGTTTTCACCTAAGATATTAGGTAATTTCTTTCTATAACTCAGCAAGTCTCTCCATATTAATATGCTGAGCACTTAAATACGTTTTTTTCTCACCAAACTAAGTGTTCTATTTGCCTTGAGTCTAGGAATTTTTTTAAAAATTTTATCATATTTGTTAGGGTCTTGCTATGTTGCCCAGGCTGGTCTTGAACTCTTGGCCTCAAGCAGTCCTGCCATCTCAGCCTCCCAAGTTGCTGGGATTACAGGTGCATGCCACCATGCCTGGCCAGAAGGTGTTTTTACTGGTGTTTATATATATATGTCACAGGGAGTGGATATATTTGTTTTCATGATCTTGTACATTTATTTTTGTGCAGTATCATACATTAAATGATTATAATTTTGTGTTTTCAGAACACTATTATGAAATACCCAGATAGTATAGAATCATCTGGAAGGCAGGCAGCTTGAGGATTATCTTGTCCAGTGTTTGCCAGATTTATCTGATGATAAATAAGATTTACTTGGATCACTTAATAAGAATTATCGGCCTCACCCAGAGACCTTCTGAATTGGGAAGGGGCTTTGGAATCCACGTCGTTTACAGTTTCCCTGGGGTACTTCTTATGGTTAGGTGAGTTTAGGAAAAACTGATCTAGTCAGCCTCTTGATTAAGGAAAGTAAACCCTGGGAAAGAGAAAGAACAAAGTAAGACATTTAGGGCCACCTAC